AAGGAGTAATGGGCACAAGTTGATGGAGAGGAGGTATAGATTGGACATCCGCAAAAACTACTTCACAGTTAGGGCGGCTAGGAGCTGGAACCAACTTCCAAGGGAAGTGGTGCTGGCCCCTACCCTGGGGGTCTTTAAGAAGAGGCTGGATGCCTACCTGGCTGGACTCATTTGAGTCCTGTTTTTGTTTTGGGGTTTTGTTGTTCTCCCGCCCTGGCGGGGGGTGGGGCTAGAAGATCTACTAGGTCCCTTCCGACCCTAAATCTATGAAACTATGAAACTATGAAACGAGCACCAAGGGTGCTCCAATGCGCTGGAATTCCAGTGTGTCAGAGCAGACTCGATTAACCGAGTCTGCAGAAGCGTGGCGATCACTGCGCTCCAGCTGCCTCCTGGGTCTTATATATCAGCTTAAGAATGGCGGTGGGGGCGCTTGAACTAAAACTCATCTAATGAGGATACTTATAAAGGAGATGTGGCAGTGCTTTAATTAGAGTGGCTCTTGGCGCCGCTCTAATTGAAGTGCCACCCCCCACTCCTCCCCCTCCCCGCAACCTTCAGAGCACATGTAAAAGTGCCTGTAGACACTACCCTTAGGGCTAAGGGGAAGATGTGATTTCAGGGCATATTTAAGCATTCGCTTCTCTCCTGGAAACCAATAAGGAGGCCAAGTAATGCCAAAAGCAATGGTTATTCTTATAATGTGAATACATGGCCTTACAAAGAGAGGTGAAATCCATAGTCTCCTGCCACATATGCTACCAACCTACCATCTAGGCTTCAGTAATCGGTAATGACTAATGCGTAGTGAACTCTGTAGGATTCCAACTGGTGACCTACAAACAAAAGGTTTGTTATCCCACTACCACCCTCAACCAGGAAACTCGGGGTTAGAAAATGAGTTCAGAATGAACTGAATGTACAAACACTGTCTCGCCAACTCAATATGTTACCATTGTTCTTTAAATAATATGCTGGAAAGGAATATTATTTTGTGCATATTATAAACACCTGCCAACACAGCAAGTGAATTAGATAATCTTATAATAACTGTAACTCTGTTTATCATGGGTGTATCCTGTCACTTCCCAGGGAGGCAATAAAATAGAGCGGTATTGTCACCAAGATTTCTTTTGACAGCAGCATTGCTAATATTCTCCATAACATAAAATCTCTCTCGTGAGATGTATGGGAAAGGTACATGATGGCAGAGCTGTGCTATGACATTCATCTTCATGAGCGAGCTATTCCATCTCCTCTCACCAGTGAAGATGAATGTCAGGAGAGATCAGCCAACAGGTATTATGCAGACATCTTGTATATGTGCCTTCCCCTCCCACTGTCCTTCAGCTGAGAGGCTGCTTTAGATCAGAGATGGGGAGCTTGAGGGATTATAGCACTCGGGGTAGGTTACCTCCTTTGAGTTTCCCCATATTTATGAATATCTAACCTCCATTCAAAAGTCTGCAATCTCAGGCAGGGAGATTTGGATGCACTTCCCACCAGTGCCTTCCCACCATGAACATAAGTCTGGGACTGAGGGATGATGTGGGGTCCCTGCACCAAAACACACTAAACAAGCTGTCTCCCTTGTGCTCCCTCTTCAACCAGCCTGGGGATGCCCACGATTGCTCTGGACATGGTTGTGTGACTTGCAGTCTGCCACACTACAAGCTTCTATGCCCGGGGGCTCTTCTGTTATCAGTGAAAGAAGAAGAATGAGCGGGAGAGAGAGTGTACGTGCCTGTACATATGTGAACCTAGAAAGAACAGCAGGTGAAAGAGATGATAGGCAGATGTCTTGCAAACATATATTGACACGTAATTTAAAGTACATGTGTAAAACACCAGGTGCTCCAGAACAGTGCATTGCTCTCCTATTGTCTTGATAAGATTCTGGTCTAAAATATGATTAGGAACTTAACTGAACGCCCTTGGCTTAATCTTACCAGTCAGCTGCTATTTAATTACTCCACAATAACTGCTTTGTTAATGACATTAAGGGCTATTATTACTGTAATCAGCACATAAGCATTGCATAACCTGCATCTGCTGGTACCTATGCTATCTCACATGCAGGAGGCCATGCCACAAAATCCAAAGGCAGCAGGCATGCAAGGGCCAGCTATCTATCTGTAGCTCTTAAGCTTTGAAGGGAACAATCTCAGAGGCAGAAGAGGTTAGATAGAAAAAGATCAGTGCAGAATGTTATTAGGGGAAAGCAAGATGGGTATTCAAGCCCTTACTGAGAAGGCTTCTGTTAGAAAGGAGATAACCTGACCCTAACCCCCTCCCAAAAAGATTGAATTATTTCAGTTAGGTTTGTTGGTTTTATTGTTTCTTACTCCTGCCAAGAACTGATTTTGGGGCTGTGTGTTTCTCCTGAAAGGGGGTAACTTTCCTAGCTGTAACCACAGTGATACTTGGTGGGGCTGATGACAGTGTTGCTTTTGCTAGTGACGACAGTCACTTTTAAGCCTCTACCTATGCCAAATGTTTGAACCCCAACAAAAACACCAGGTTCTTTCATGAGGCTTTTCAAACAGCATCCAAACTATGCAATCACAGAAGGAAGAGATTGCTATATGCTGCAACATAGGAAATGCCTTTTCAAAGTTGTGTTGGTATGCTGAGACCATCACCTCTCATGCTGACTGGCATTATCTCACTGTTAGCTTGCATACCCTATATCTGTATCCATCCTTTGCTCTTGCCTTATGATTATAAGATACCTAGGGCAAGGCACCATATTTTGTCCTATGTTTGTAAAATGCTTTGCTTAGTGTGGTTCTGGGGCTCCTGTGTCCTATGGTAATTCAAATATAATCATAAACATCACCACCACTATTATGGAGGAATATGTGGTGAATGACCTATTTGGTTAGGAAAATCATAGATCTCAAATATTGGAAAGACTCAGGCAATCTAAGCCATGCTCCCCTGCTCTCAGGCCAATAAAAATCAGGATAAAACCATTTAATTTAGCTAAAAACACTGAATTCCCTGGATACAATTTACATAAGATTTAACCATGTTGTGTTATTGATTCACTTCCATCCTGATCTGTAGCATTTTATATTGTTCCTGTCTTGGGATTCCCATACAGTTCAATTGATATACCTACTTTCTGGCGTGCAATGCTCAAAGTTATTTCATTCTTAGACAACCTTAAATTAGCTACTCTTCAATGAACCCCAATTTAGACCTTGACGTTCCTTCAATTACCTTAACTTTGTCCCACACATCCTCTAGCTCTGCCAATGCCCATCACCTTCTGGCCCATGTCACTCCAGTTATTCCAGCCATCAATGCCCCTTCAAGCCCTATTTCTCAATTGACAATTAAGTGCTGTTGATTACTTTCTGGAAGCAGTGGGAAAACTATAGCAGGCCTCTCTCTGAACTTACAAAGTCTTAACCTTTGTGCTTCTTTCCTTGACAGTGATGACCACTCACGAGATGCAGGTGAGCCAGGGGTGCCTATTTTGCACCTGGAAAATAAGATTGCTGGACTCAAGTGTCCTTTACAAGGCACAATCATCACTGAATGCTTGTTAAAAGTGGGGCTTGACCTGATGCTTTTTGGAGACTGTAAAGTGCTGCAGAAACAGTCCAAGAAACCTAGAGAAAGTGGGAACAGCCATGAAATGACAGGCAGGTCCTACCACAGAACTCCCTCAGACACTACTGCCTGGGCAGAGAGCAGAGACAGCTCTAGCTACAACAGCACTATTTAAACCCTGTCCCAATTATTTTTGGTGCTGAGGCAAAACGCAAAGGCAGCGATATAGTTCCAGGGAGCACCGTCTGCAGCACACGTCTGCCACTTGGGGGGCAGAACGCCAAGTTCATAGCTAAGTTGACTGATGGTCCTTCCAACTCAAGAGGCCTTTGCAGTGTTGCTCTGGGATCATTTCCATATACCATCCTAGGCTGTGTCTAGAAGAGCTGATTTTCCTCTGATGTCAACACAGCACCAGCTGGTTACCGGCTACATCAGGCTGCATTTGAGTTAATTTTAATATACAGGGCCAAGCTTAAACTCTTGCTGATATCAGCTGGGACTAGTAGTTGCTCAGGCCAAGACTGAACTTGGCCTACATGATGCATAAATTTCAGGAGAAACCCTGGCACAGACAGGAAGGGCAGAGCAGGGCTCTGCTCCAGAACACCCAAGTGAAACCACCTAAAAATCACAGCTCACTCTTTGATGGGAGACGTGGGTGACTCAGTCTCTTGGGAAACCCTCTCTCTGCTGCATTCAGCTGCTGCACATTGTTTTGGAGGAATAATGGTACGAGTCGAGGATGGAAGAGAAAAACTGGTAGGTCTTCTACTCCATCTCTCCAGTAATTGGACTGCGGCTCCACTGCACCCATAGAAGCCATGGGTACCACACCTGTGCACTTCTGGGTGCACCTGAACAGGGCTTCAGGGTGGCCCCATTTTGCCTGCACCCCACTCCCCCTTCTCTCTTCCCACTTCAGACCGGAAGACGGGACATGCCACATGCCCCCTTTCTCATCTGGGAGGCTAATGAAGGGTCCTGTTCACAACTGATCCCTGCAATTGGAAGCACAGAACACAGCAGGCTGGCATAAATTGAGACCGTGTATGAAAGAGGAGGCAGTTCTGGCAGCTGAAGGTTAGCAACATAAATAAGGTTAGAAAGAAAGGAAGGGGAGCCAACAGGTACGCACCACTGATGCACTTACTTGTAGTAACAGATATCATATCCCACCCGAATCCAGTGAGGCTTGCCCTGGAGAGCTTCCTTCACTGAATACATGACCGGTTGCATGCCTACATAAAACAAAGGCAATTTCAGGTGACATGGCTTCCTCAGTTGGGTGGGGAGAGGGAATACAACACACATTGTCATTACTTTGTCTGTGTTTCCACAGCAGAGATTTTCGCACAGGCATATATATTTTCACTCTAATCCTGTGCTGGATTTGGAGGCAGCCACTGTTTATGGGAAAATATGGTGAGATGAAAACAGAAAGAGAGAGAGGGAGAGAACAGATCTCCCCTACTGGCTACTCCACAGCAGGAGACTTCAAACCGCTCTGCTTGTATGAGGACTGAGTAAAGTAAGAGAGGCCTGTCCGGTCTGGTATGCCATCCTCTGAAGCATCAGAATATAATCAGTAGGCATCTCATTGTCTGGGATTCAGACTCGTGCCGTAAGGGAGGAGGAGCAATGTGTCATCTGATACCAAACGTTTGATAACAACAGCTAGCAGTGAATGCTTCAGAAGAAGGCCAAATATGCTTCCCTTAGAGCCATCTGCTCTTGGGTGCCCCATAAATTCCTATAGCAGTGATAGCCATCATTGTGCTATAGGTTATATTGCAGGTCTCAGAGCTCTGTCCCTGAGAAAGGCAACAGAATATTCCCCCAGAGTGGCTTCAACACATCATTTCTGGGCTTGACACACCTGGCATGTGCAAGAGCAAACAGGCTTGTGCTTCCTGGGAAAGCAGTGTGGACATGCCCCTACTGACCAGCTTCTTACACCGTAAGCATCGACCTCCATAGATGCACGAGGTCAATTAGTTGAACCAGTCTTTATAAAACTCCTTTTCTATAGGCAAGCTTTACCCTCCTGTTCCAGCAAATATTTTGTCCTCTTTCGTGAAGAGCTCCACAGCTCTTTCCCCACCCAGATTTCTAACCTCCCTCTCTACTTGTTGCCTTTGTCTTCCTCGCCTACTCCACTGGCCTGTCCCCAGGGTACTCATTACATCCGTTTCATTGCCTATGGGGGCTTATTTGCTCCCCCTCCTTCTCCGCCCCAAAAAGCAACTTACATAAAACTTTCCCATTCCTCCTCCTCCTGCTGCCCTTGGATTCCTCTGGTACAACTCACCAGCACTTTAACAGCTGCCAAATGCAGCTCTGAATATAGGCAGACCTGTCCCATACCGCAACAGAAGGTGGAAAGGAAAGGCATTTCAAATGCAAACTCATCCACAGCCAGGATTAACTATTCTGCTTCTGTTTCCTGTACCAGAGACATCCAAAATGCACTTCTGCTCAGATCCGTTCTCAAAAAACAGGCTGCCTCATGGGGGCTTTAGAGCAGCCTAGGTGCCCAACCAGCCCATGGAGTAAAAAAGGCATATGAGGCTCCAGGGCTACAGCTTGCATAAGACCCCATAGCAGCACAGGAAGACGCAGTTTGACATCAAACTGCCTCCAAGCAAAACATTTCAATTCTGATGGACAAAAGGAAAAACTCTGCTTCAATTTTCCCAGTGGGAACTTCAGATTTTGGGCCATTTTTACTGGGTTTTGGGCAATGGTCAAAACATTCTGGGGAAAGGGAGGGATATTTGCTTTCTGATTATCAGTATGGCTGGTACTACTACTCCTCAATGCATCTTCGATGTGAAAATTACACAGTGCCATCTAGCTGACAGGGAGGACAGCTGGACCATCACAACACAGAGGCAGCCAGGGCTGTAAAATCTTGTCACCCATGCCACAGTCACAAGAGACCGGGATTGTTTGGAAAATAGGATGAATCTTAGCCTGGGAACAGACATGAGGAAGGTAGTGAAAAAACAGCAACTCTTATCCAGAGAGGAAATGAACATTGCACACAGTGCTGGTTGGGCTATGAGCCTTGTTCAGCAAAGCCAGATAGGTTTTGATGCCTTCTAAAAGCAGCAGAAGCCACACACAAAAGGATATCCTGAGCAGCTACACATATTGATCACATCCTGGTTTAGCTTTTGGAACATTTTTCCTCCTAAACAGGCATTCTTCATTCTATATTCATCCATTTTAAAGCTCACAAGAGTGAGAGGATAGGTACAGGCTATAGTCGCAGAGGTAGATGCTGTAGTGATCATCAGGTACAAGAACCACAGGCATATGTGAACAAGAATGACATGCTTTAATTTGTGGAGCATATGCAATATCTGCAGACCCTTTGTCTGTCTCTCTGATTAACGGCTACTATGTAACTAGCTAGCTGCTGCCTGAGGGACCATCTCCCCATTCCCAATCCCTCAGTCTCCTGTTAGGAAACATCTTTAAAACATAACTTCTATCAAAATAGATGCCGTGCAGCCTTCTACCAGTAAGGGACTAAGCCAACAGCACTGAAATCACTAGGAACTATACCACAAGCTTCAACAGGTACCATTGCAGGTCCAACACCCTTCCTCTCATGACCTGCTTCACTCTCAGGTTGTTGCTAAGTACTGAATTTGCCAGTCATGCCAATTTGTTTAGCCATTCAGGCAAGTGGAATGAAAAAAACAATGCAAAATTCATTTTCATGTGGGATCTATATCAATACTTGAACCATGGTCCTTAGGGGTAAAGAACAAGTCCTTCCCATTGCTCACCCAGCCATCCTCATAAACACAAGTGTCAAGTCTTTCTAACTTCCCTTGCTATTTGTGTGAGGTACATTGATCCTGGAATAGTTCCCTTGGTGATTTGTGAAGGTATCCACAGGGGTTCAAAAGGAATGCACTGTTTGATATTGTGCACTGATTAAACTTCCTTTCATTGACCCGCTCCTTAGCTGATCTCCACTGGCATAGCTCTACAGAAACCAATGGACCTAAAGCCAACTTATGCCAGCTGAAGGTTTAGCCTCCAGCCTGCCTGTAGAAGAACTGAAAGCTGGGATTTGCCTGCCTATTTTATAACACCACATCCTTCCTCGTGAACCAAGCTATTAGCGGAGCTGAACAGAATATTTTATTATTCATGTTGGCAGAAAGCTCAGAAGGTCTGAAGATCAGATTTTATTTTTAGGTGAGCCTCCAAAATTGGGAATAATTACTGCAGGATTATCCAAATTTATTCAAATCACATAAACTCTTTCCACTTCTGCACCACTCAACCCAAATAGATCCTCCTCCTTTCCGTTGCAGGCTCATTTTCCCATACCCTAGTCTCCGAACTCCTGACTTCTAATCCTAAAACAGTTTGATTGACTTTCCACTTCCCTCTCCCCAACCCTAAGTGGATGGTAGGCCCACCTCTCAGTGCCCTCGATGACAAAGAGGGATCCTTGTGCTGCCCTTTAGAGACCACTTTGGGTTGGTTTTAAAGAAATGGGTGAAAACAAAGAGACTCCCGCTTTGCTCCCACTCATTCAGAAGGCTGATCACTGCAATAGAGGACCCAGAAGCAAAGGAGGGGATTATGGGGAGGAAGGGAGCCTTAGTCCCTAGGAAGCTGATAGCAGGAGGAAAGGTTGTAGCTGGAGTCTACTGAATTCTGGTGGGAAGGAGGCAAAAGAAAGGAAGGAGGCAAGCTCTATACCCCAAAGGCCCCAGGGTGGTACCTCTGCTCTTATGGCTCAGAAGGCACCACAGCTAGGTAAGCAGGCCAAAACTTCTGCATAGAAGTCTTAGGGACGTGGAAAGGTTGGAGTCAATACCATTACCCTCTGCAAGGCAAGGAACCAATGCAGCCCTCCAAAGGTTCGTACCGTAATTGAACTGGCTGTTGACCTTCTCACAGTTGACAACATTGAAGCGGTAGGGAACAGCCGACTTCATGGCGCTAACCTCAAAGTAGAACCACTGGTGGTGCTGGCTGCTGTTCACATCAGCATTCATAATCAAATCATACTCAAACCTGGAAAGCAAAACATGCAAAATGGAGTTGGGGGCCAATGACAGGAATGGGGTGAGAGATAATGAATTTACAGCTGCAAACAAATATCAGTCACTGAGCTTTGTATAGCAGAGCTGAATCCAGTCATGGGCGAATCAGAGGGTGCCATCTGTCATGCTGGGCCTTTATTCATGAAGGAGTTTGAACCAGGGGACTCTTGAGGTCCTTCCCGCTTTATGGTTCGATCAAAGCCAGAAGTACCAAAATATGTCATTGAACCTGTGTCCACCCTAGCACAGCATTAAAACATTGTGTACTGTAGTATTTCATTCCCTTCAGCTTCATGTGACCCAAGTCTTGGCACATGATATGCATTCCCTCCCCTTTTCTGTTTCAGAGTCCACTAGCATTTCACCTTTTCATTTAGTGAATATTATAAGTAGGGCAAGAGGTTACACAGGCACTGCTGGCATTGGTGCTACTTACCCATACACTTGTATGGCTTTGCGAAGGTTTCCCGATTCAAATTTGGAGAAGAATTTAAGACAATCTGGAGCATCTAAGCTGGACAGGCTGAAACAAAATACAGAAATACACCTTACTCTAAAGGAGAAGTAACTGCCCAATTCCACATATTTGTTACCCTGTGAGGGAAAGAGCCATTCCCAAGTTCTCCATTCATTCCTCCCATGTTTCTATCATGCCCTGTTCTGGAGCCCTTTCATTTAGCATAAGCCACTTTGACATCCTCTCCCTGAAAACCCTCATCAGGCCTCCTCTAGCTCTCCTGCCTCCTCTTATCCTAACAATAATTTCAAATCCACAAATCTTTCATTGAAATTTACTTTTGCAGGTCTGAGATCCTCTGGTTTTCCTTATGCTGTCTCTTCTCAAGGGCAGTACTCAGAGGTTGTGCCTACTACTGTGCCCAAGATAAGTTCTTACAAGTGGCTTGCCACACACAGTAATAGTACGATCCATTGCTCTCCTAAAAACAACCAGCGTCTGGTTTGATTTTCCTCCACAATTGGGTAGTTTCAGTAACTCCTTCTTTCCCCAAGCTATGGCTAGGAAGCTGCTCATTCAACGTGCTTCTTATACTGAATCCTAGCTCTTAGGCTCATTGGGCACCTATGCACATGCCAGACATCTTCTCTGATATGTGCTAATTAAAGTAGCCTCCATGTCATGTGTATTCAGCATCCCCATGCTTCAAACTGATGGCAGGGACACTTTAAAGCTTATCAAATGAGCTGTAGTTAAATGCCCCCACCACCGTTTTGAAGCACAAAATGCTGAATACACGTGATGCTGTGGGCGCTCTAATTAGAGCGGCTCTCAGAGCTGCTCTAATTAAAGTGCCACCCCCTTCCATCTCAGAGCACGTGTAAAGACACCCACTGATTTTACACACATAACCAGTCATCTGATTTGGTAGTTATATGAACAGTAGCACACTACAAGGCATACCTACCTGGGCTCTTCTAAATCAAAGACAACTCTGCCTATCACATCGCCTGGTTGGATAAGGCGACGGATATCATCAAATATTTTGGCCCTGAAAAAGAAAGACAAAGTTGTGAGTTTTTCTACAGCCACAGGGGGAGAGGGAGAGAGAGAGTCTCATTCTGGGGATGGGATACTTGTTGCTGAAGCTAGAGAAAGCTTATGAATTCTTTTCCATGGCTTTGATGGGGATTTTTGCATAGAATTATGCTAAGGCCAATTGTATTTTTTAAAAATGTAGTTCACCTGCTTGTTTTTCCATGTGAACTTCTTTGCAAAACTCCCATGGCCAGAAAACATCTTTGCAGTTAAATGACTTATTATTTACAAAAATCCCCATTTATTCAACCTGTAGCACTAGTCATGCATGGCCAGCAGCATGAATTGGCCATAATGCAGCAAACTATCAGTTTATTTAGTACAGAATGCTGATTCCTACAGACACTGTGAGAAGGAGAATTTGTCCGGTGATATCTTTTATTAGACCATTAGGAGAGATGCTAGGCAGGCTTTCAGGCTTAAAAATGCCCTTCCTCTCTCACACTCTTTGGACCATCACAGCTGCAACAACACTATAGCACTACACCTACAGAGGCTAACAACTGCTGGTTCTAATGAATGAGCCTCTCCAATCCCCAATCATGATCAATTGTATAATGTAGGGAAGATTTCCTTCCTGACCTTTCCAGCAATCAGCTTATACCCTGAAGCATGACATGATTATTTCTGTCTTAACTATATGCTTACACATGCTATTATTGGTCATAAAAGCACAGCTTTCAAAGCATTAGTGCAGGGGGGCAGCGAGAGTGACTCTGAATAGGATTGCTAGATTTTAGTGACTGTAGAGAGTTCCCATCTTTACAGAGTGCAGAGATTCAACAGAGCACAGATATTAGTGGTCTTGGTAAATGCCATGCTGTTAGTGTTGTTCAGCCTTACGGCTTAGTTTAAGAGAACAGAATCACCCCTGTCTCATCCTGCCTGGACTCTGGTAACAGTTACTTGTGCCTGCTTAGAAAAATGCTTTGTAAGGTTATAGCACATGGCTATCCATAGAGCCATAGGAAGAGTAGTTATGAGAGAGATGTCTCCCTTCTAACACAGTTCCAGAATACAAGTTTCCCTGCCAGCTGAACAACTTCAATGAAGTGAGGATAACAACGCTTGGCACTTAGGCAGGTGAGTATTTCTGGAGTCGCAGAGATTCGCAGAAGCCATGAGGTACAACAAGACTTGTCTGCAATCAGACAGGGAGTCAATGGCAAAGGCAGGAGATAAGCCTCTGACTTGTAGTTGTGTCGAGACTTAGATGTCGGTCTCCCCAACCTCAAGAGAAAAATCTGAATACAACAGTCCTGTAACCCAAATGCTCGCCCCGTATGGCTTTAAACTTGTTCTGCAAAGACCTAGGCAACTCAGTACAAATGTGATCATCAATACCCACCACCAGCCATGCAATAAGACATGAGTGACATATAAGACTCCTTCATACCGCAAGAATCTTGTCCCTCTATCCCCAGCTCAGGAGAGCCTGCGTGATGATAATAAACACATTCACCTTTGAACTGCATATTTCCGCTCCAACATGGACTGGCAATAAGATGGGGGTTCATGACCCCAGAAATCAGACAATGCCAAAAATGTGTAGTCCGGAATGGACTTGGTGCTTCCAGCCTTAGCCATGTAGAGATGAGGGCTGTGGAACGGGATATTCCCCTGGCATCTCTCCAGAAGTCCCTTTCCTACATCCAAGGCTCCCACTTCCCCAGCAGGGCTGGGACTACAGCAGCTCACACACTGAGCGTTAAATGTTTTTGCATCCCAGGAGGCCTCTTTTGGGAGAGGACGCAGCATTCGGCCGCAACTCCTTGCTGAACATTTTTCTTCACCTAGGCCATCTGCACTTGGGGCTGAATCTCCAGTGGTTTTATTTTCGGTGGTTTGAGCACCAAGACACTTCCCATCCTTCTCTGGGCCCTTCAATGGAGCCTTCAAAGCCCTTTCAGCTGGCTCTGGCTGTGGCCCCTTAGTATTTTGGTCCTTTCCTCTGCCACGCTGCTGCTGCATGAAAGCAGCACTTGGAATGACTCGAGGGCGAGTGAATGGTAGGCTCCTGAGCACATCCTCTGAGCCTCTCTCATCTTCAGACTCCAATTCCAACTCCTTCAAAGAGTAAAATAAAGAAAAGAAATAAAGACAGATGGTGCCTCCTTCCAGAGGGAAACCCTTCTGGGTAGAAGAAGAAAACATTAAACGTATAGACCTCCCAAAAGTTTGCTTCTCTCGTAACATAGGGAAGAGCAAAAGCTATGGACCACCTGCCAGCACTCCCGTTCCCTCAAGTTACACTCTGAGCAATACTCAGAAGCAAATTAGGGCCAGCCTGAGCCAGCTACTGGATGGGTAATTCAAGCCAATTCCAGAGTGTGCTAGGAAATTGTGGAAGGAAATTCAGTAAGTGTCACTCTTCTTTTCCCTGCTTTCAGAGACAGAACTGCAATGTGAAGCCAAGGTCCTTGCTACTTGCAGTCACTGCAATACTGCAGCATTCTCCGTGCTGAAAATACATTAACCCAGGTGCCCTTTGCAAGTTCAAGTTTGCATCAGTCTCCCTAAAGCCTCCCTGAACCTCATGTGGAGCATAATGTTCTTCCTCACTTCTCACCTAGAGCTGTATGCCCTTGCACCAAAGGCAGTGGAAGCTTCCCCCTTGCTGTGCTTCAACCATGACCTAAAGCGGGAGTGTCAAACTCATCTGAGCCCATGGGCCATGGCTGGCACAGGACTCGTCTGCAGGCTGGGTTGGGCCCAAGGACCAGGCTCACATGTCATATGCATCTGTTCCAGGATGGAAAAAGCAGGACTGCAGCACACACGGCACCCACTCTGGTCACTCCAGGGCTGTATTTCATGTAACACCTGCTCTGGCCACTCCAGGATGCACGCTGGATCTAGCGTGGAGTGGACAGGTACTGGGGTAAGTATTTCATGTAGCATGGTCCTGGAGCACCTGGACATCTAACCTGTGAGGCCATCCAGCACATCCCACATTGCCTGTGGGTCTACTCAAGACCCACAGACAGCATCAGGGGCTGGATGGTAGGGCTCAGCAGGCTGGAGCTGGCCCATGAGCCATATCTTTGACACCCCCTGACCTAAATCAACTGTCTTGGTGGTTGCTAAAGTGATTTAATCTCCATGCCCCAGTCAGACTCTGACATCTTATTTCTTGCTGGGGTCACTTGATTCCAGCTGACTTCCAGCTGGACCCGATGACCTCACGAGGTCCCTTCCAGCCCCTAAAATCTATGAAAATCTATAGGAAAAAAAAAACAAACTCTGTTGAAACCCCTCCCACAGCATACAAATGAATGTCCATTTGTGAATGTGATTTTTTTCCTAGGTGCACTAGGGCTTAGTCAGCTGAGACCCAGCAAAATGCGCTGCCAAACGGTCATCAGAGAAACACAGAATTTGTAGGGGCTTTCTGAGCCATCAAATCTAGTCTCCTGGATTCACAGGCAACCACTTGTCCAAGAGCATCACCCATTGGATGCAACCTCCAGATTAGGATGTCCTGATGCTGGCAGCTATAAGGGAAGTGGGGCAGAGGACATATCAGTCTAAATAGGCCCTGCATAAATGATCTCTCTCATAGCATCCTCTGTCTCTGCCAGAGATACAGGATTCAGAGCTATAGGGACCCAATACGGCATTTCTTATGTTCCTATGTCCACTCCAGCCCCTCTCACACACCTAATAAAAAAACCTTTCAATGCGCCATGAGAAAAGAGCACAAATGAGCAGAAGAGACTAGTGTGAAACCAATGCCTTCTGCCACAGCAGGGGATTCACTGGAACAGAACATAAGTACATAAGACCTGCCATTCACTGGCAAGTCCCTCTTTCCCAGTACCCTGTGTTACACAATGGCAGACAGTCGATACTGAAAGGGAGCATGAACAGGGTACGACCAAGGTTTTTCCCCTGTTCCTCTCCCGCTTGCAGCCTCAAGCATGTAAGGTCTAGGAAGTTCTGCATCAGAGGCTGTGCCCCCCACCCCCCATGTTTAGTCACTACTGATGCACCTTTCATCCAAAAATTTGTCCAATCTCGTTTTGAACCTGAAGTGTCAGCTTCCACAACATCTTGCGGCAACGAGTTCCACTCTTCAATCGCACACAGCGGGGAAAAAATACCTTCTTTTCTCACTTTTAAATGTTCTACCGCCTGGTCTCATTTCATGACCCCCAGCTCTAGCATTGTAAGAAATGGTAAATAATAAATCCCTATTCGTTTTCTCTTCACCATTTAGTATTTTGTACACCGTTATTGTGTTCCCTCTCAAGTATCTCTTTTCTAAACTGAACAGGCCTTGCCTCAGATAAAATATGCTCGGTTGATCCCAAGGGTTGAACCATGCCCCATGCCACAGAGAAAGGCAGTCTCTCTGACCCTGGGCGAGAATCAAGCCAATGGGCTACAGACAGTTGTCTCAATCTTCAATCCCTTGATTCCCCCAGCTACCCAGCGTCTCGCTTTACAAGAAGTCTGCATGGTTACCTCCTCCCACCTCCAGTACTGCATGCTCCTTTGTGTATTCCTACCTGAAAGTCATGGGAAAGTTCAGGACACATTGCCTCATACTGTGCAAGCTCCTTCTCTGGCCTGTCAAGACCAGGCCTTGACCTCAGTTTGTTCACATCTGTCTCCAGGTCATCATCCTTCAAAAGCAGGAGGAGGAAAGGAAATAAATTAAAGATGTTACTGAGGTGCTTTGGATTGCCCTGCAGTCGATCATTATACAACAAAGCCCATTGAATAGTACCTTTCACCTAAGAATCGCTGGACACGTGACGCTCCTGATGGTTAAAGTAGAGGAATGTGTTTCCTTTAGAGGTCGTGAAACCGCCGTCACTGGAACTTTTCAGTGCAGGTTAAGTAAGGATTTGTCAGGGATGGTGTAGACGGAGAAGATCCTGCTCTGAGCAGGGGTTGACATCTCGAGGTCACGTCAAGCCTTAATTTTTTTACAACGCTACATAGCAAATGAGGCTCAGGTTCTCCCCTGCCATGTAAACAACTGCAAATAAAGCCATTTTATGGAAGGACAAATAGATGTACGAAAGTTTGAGTCACCTGCCTACAAGTTTATAAGGAACCAACAGTCTGCAACTCAGGAGTCCTGGACAAGATTAACAAAAGCAGGTAATAGGTGACCAAATGAAGACCCTTTAAAGAGTCCCAGTTTTCAGAAAGCTCGGAGACCCATCTGCTAAAAATTAAGCCCCTTTGGCTTGGGGCGCCCAAAAAGCGATTCACCTCAAAACCACAATAGGATCCTATTGCAACCAAGAACCCCTCTCACTCAGGTATTAAACAGAGGGGCACAAGGAAACATCTTTGATTCAGAAACCCAACAACCAAGTAATCTGGAGTGAACAAAATCCCAGAGCACATCACAGGCACAATCAGTCTGGCTGCTCACCAGAAGAATTAGCAGCCTCTAGAGGCCTGCCTCTTCCTTCGAGCCAAAATCTCCTTAGCCCCCTTTGTTCTCCTTCAGGGCCCCTGCCTTTGAACACAAGCCCCCAAGCCCGTCCCACCCACATCGCTGAACCCTCAAGCTGCAATTTCTCATTGCCATTACTTTATTTATATTTCTGTATGCTGCTGATAAATAGTTTTTGGTCTTACCCAATCTTCTAATCTCCCTTTAAAAAAAAAAGAAAAAGAAAAAAAACGAAAATCTTCTGGATCTGCAGTTATCTGAGAAGCAAGGATAAGGATCCTATCTGAAACTTTCACATCCAAAGGCAATTGTGCATTGATGTGCAACCCCTTCACATCAGATACCAGACTCAGCGTCACATGGTGCCAAGTGTTCAGCCATCACATAAGAGAACGGGAAAGAATGAACGTGGGGGAGGGGGGAGAGAAGTGGCATTGATGAATGGCTGTTACATGACAGCATTATTCAAATAATTCAGTATGCTGTTAGCAAGCACGCACTGCCAAACCACAGCAAAAAAGCAATTTGCTTTGATAACAACTTCAGAAATGATTCTATTTATCAACAAATTCCTGCGAACACAAGGGTGTCCACAGCATTTCCAATCCAGAGCTGCAGCTGCATTGGAGGAAATTGTGGTGGTTTTGCGGGTGAGCCAGTAGCAGGCCCTGGAGGTGCTGCTGGGCGTTGGAGCTCCATTTGGAGGACCTGTCAGGTTAGGGCACTAGGTGGAATTAGTTGGGAGACACATCGATGGTTTGGGTTGGTGGAAGGATCCATAAGAGGCCTGGATATTTGAGTCCCATGAGGATTCCAGTTTTGGTAGAGCTGATCAGATAGCGGGGTGACAAATATTTTCCCTTCGAAAGTCCTGTGCTAAGTTCCTTAAGTTAGCACTAGTCATTATGCATCAATGTCTACAAGATAGCTATAAAATGTTTGTCACATAAGTATGAGGAAAATTAGAAGATGTGATTAGTCTTCACACAAATATCTCAACTATAAGTTCACTTTCCATTCTCCATTTCATAACCCAACTGGAAGGTACTAGTTTATGGGTTAAGTGACCAGTCACATGAGAAAAACAATAGCTAAAATGCATCCAAACAAAGAAGTAAATACTTTGTAATGCACCTTTGTCCTAATAAACTGATTGACCACCCCTAATTTTCAGATAAAAACTGTCAGTAGGGCACAAGTTAGGACAGCTACCCTTCACAGTGCACAGAGGGTTTTAAAGGAAGCTATAGTTCATATACCTACTTCCTCTTTGCTCTCCAGGTCATCGTTATCAAAGTCTTTTTCCACCTCTTCTTCACCATCCTCTTCACTCTCATCTGTAACAGTAAAAAAGAAGTGGAGCAGGTGGCCTCCATTTGAATACCTCTTTTCTCTCATCCTCCAACAGAAAAAGATGAGACCCGTGTGTGATAGGCGGCTGTCTACATACAAGCCACCACAATGCTGAATGCAAGGCTCAGAATCCACATCAGATCCCAAGTGCTGAGTCAGATCCGGTGGCCTCAGTCTCCTCCATTTTTCAGTATTGGCCTCAATAAAATCACTGCTTTTCAACTCCTGGCCAAAGATCACCAGTAAAGCAATCATTGTAAAGCAATCAGATGATGTTATAGTTTGGCTGCAATCACATTAGGGGATGCTCTTAATCTACATATCCCAGCTAGGCATTTTACACAGCAACCCAACACTATAGTACGAGACATTTTTCTGTGGACAATCAATAGCAATGGTGAAATCCCTGGTGGACCTCATGGAGAAGCCAGCTCTTGTCTGAGTGGATCAAAGGTTGTATTGTTTGTTTCAGCTGGGTTTGGGGGGCTCAGGGTTAGAGCAGTGGGTGGTTATCTGGGCAGATGGGGTGCGAGTTTTGTATGGTGTTCATGTCCTGAGATTATAGAAAGCAGGGTGGTTTGGAGGAAAGGAGACACACCCCATGAAAATGGGGTGGGGGAACACAACAAACACCACCACCTACAGAGGTAAGGCAAGCATTTGGAGCCACCAAGAAGCTATTGCAAAATTTGCATAAATTTTTTGCCCAGGCCAAAAAAAGACATCAGATACCACAGCAATACTGGAACGCAGCATGAAGGCCAGCAGTAGAAGGATTTCAGACTTCTAGACAAGCACATATTTGCTCCCTCTTTGGGCACTCCTATTACACACATGTCATTCACCTCCCTAAACACATGCCCTAGTTGCTTGCATATTGTCTGTTCATGCATCCTGCCTGCTACCTGCTTTTTCTTTTAGGGAGGGAAATGGCTGATGGTCGGCAGTGCCTGTTTACTGAAAAGGGAGATATTTTTAACTTTCCTCAGTGCCAAGGCCATGCCTTTTTGCAACTTTCAAGCAATCTAAGGAGCTGATCTCATGTTCCCCGCCTCCCATCCATTCTCTGCACAGCACCTTCTGCTCCTAGAGAATGGACTAGATTGAAGGATTCAAACCCACTTCTGGGGCATGATAAGTTAGGCCACCAAGTGATTTTTTTTTAATGAAAGGTGCAGGACTGGATGGCAGCCTCCCTGCCACCTCCCCAAAACCCTGGACCTTCCTCACCCCCTTCCCCAAATCACCATTCAGCAATTTACCTTCAGGCCCTGAACGTGGAGATTGAAAGCTGATGCTCCCAGGTGGAGAGAAGGAAAAGGAGCTGCTTGCTGTTGCTAAAGGCAGAGACTCCTTGGGGTAGCACTTTCTCAGGATCTGGGTCACTGTAGTTACTATAGAATCCAGGCTCTTGCTAGCCAGGCAATCCTAGGCACCAATGAAGAACAGCATTCAAAGATGTTTGCCTTTCAGCAGCATCTTCCCCATTGCACAGAACCCCCAGACATGAGGACTGTCACTTCCCTGAAAGCCTTAAAGAGCTGCCAGAGCCTTATGCAAACAATGCTCTGTTTAGAAGCAGTGCAGCTTCAATGCCTTATATATCCTGTTTGTTTGCTTTTTTTTTTTCCCTCCCTCTCTCTCTTTTCTTTCTTACCACAGTAGAAAAGTCTGTATGGGAGAACAGAATCTTGATTTTTTTTAATAGCTCATCTGCTCCTGCAGCTCACTCCCCATCTGCTGGCATCTCTCATGCAAAGGACACAGCGTCCCCTAGCACCACACTATGGCATTGGGGTCTATACTGCCTCAAAAATTAAAAGTGCCTTCAAGTGAGTCATCCATACACCTCCTCCCTACGGTACAGCTTCCTCTAGCACTGTGCTGGGAGCATTGGGCTCAGTATTGAATCAGAAGATATACTCTACTTAGCCACAAAGTTAAGCTCCTGCTGGGCCCCAATTTTTTTTTCCTATTAGAACCTCCCAGTTATTATAGAAGACTTGCAGAAGCTACTGGTAAAAGAGTCCTAATACACTTGGGTTGGGGAGAGGGTCCTTTTTAATGACATACACACACTCCATGCAGAAGGAGCATCCCAGACCTCTATTATTCCCCCTACCTTCTCCCTTTTCCCCACTATGAAAAGAGGAACCATAGGTTTTACATTTGATTAAGGAAAAGAAAACAAGCCAGAATAAAAGTAAAGTCCTATCAGGAGCGAGAGCGCGCGCACGCGCGTGTGTGTGGGTGGGTGGGTGTGGGTGTGCGTGCGCACGCGCACACATGTGTATGTGTGTGCGCGCGCATGTGTGTCCTAGATTGGAGGCCTCAGCTCTGAGAACAAAATGGCTGGTGCCTTTGCACAGCAGCACAATACTTAGCAATTTAAATGTGCAAACTATGGAAAACCAACAGATTTCAATTTCATAGTCATCATGCATATATGCCACCGCGTCCATGGGGGAGAATTAGATTGCAAAGCAAATGTAGCTATGAGCAATCTATTAAGATATACCATGCCCATCAGTAGTACCCAAGTTGACCCAGTCCCCAAACTATGAACAGAAACTGCAAAGAGCACCACGAAGACACCAAAGTGTGGAAGTGCAACATTAAAATGATAACTTATTATAAATCAGGATGCTTACTTCCCCCCAGTGTACAGGGGAAATGGAAAGTGCAGAAGCCCAAATAAAAGGTTACTGCCGCTGACTGAGCAGCACCTGGGAGGAAGTATGCCAGGCTTGAAGCACTCTACTAGTCCAGCAGGGCATTCACTGAACAGGCTGAAGTGCTCCGTAAGAAGCAATAACAGGAAAACTGCTGCATTTCAAACCGGCTCTTGCTCCGTTTCCTCATGTATGATTGAAAGGCATTATAAGATTCTGTGGGATTAGCCAAGATTCCTGTAGGGAGGCTAGAAAAATCATCTAAGCTGACGTGCTTTTACAAGACTCAACTACAAGAATCTTAATATGTATTTCTAGATCTCTAGCTGTTAGGAACAAAAGCGAGAGAACAGACAATCCTGAAATCGACTCTGAGGAAGGTTTTACTGTGGTTAGAGCAACAGCCTAGAAGAATTGGTTTCTATTCCCTGTTCTTCCACTGATTTATTGTCTGATATTGGGCAGCTTTCCTCTACCTCATTTTCCCTATCACTGAAAGAAGAGTAATGATAATTTGTCTACATGTGGAAGAAGGAGTTGCTATTCCTAAAGCTTGCTTAAAAATTCTTCTCCAACTATTTAAGTCGGTCTAATAAAAGATATCAGATTCACCCAAAGAACCTTGTCTGCCTATGTCCTTAGACCAACACGGCTACAACCTACACCCCTAAATAACTTGTAGACACACTTCTCTGGCAAAACAAGTCCCAGTTAGAAGTGGGCTAAGCTAAGCAGGCAGAAGGGAGGCTAAATGTAGAATCAGAGTCCTCACGCATGTTCATGTTCAGGAACAGTTACTTTGCTTCAAATTCAGTCTACCTTAATCCAAATTAGATTGCAAGTGTAGACAAGCCCTCCACTACCTTGCAAGGATTTTGACAAGTTAAATTCATTAGCATTTGTAAAAGACTTTGAGATGCTCTCATAACATGGTCCACAGGTGTGCTTATTAGAATCCCTTCCTTACCTCCTTGGTCCCCATTGCAAAAGCTTGTGAAATGCATGATCAGATACAAGTATTCTGGATTCAACCTAAAGGTGGGGAGATCAAATCTTATAAGATACAGCTAAAATGAACCATGCACGCAGCTTACTGGAGTGATATTTATAGGATCATAGGAAAGTGGGGCTGGGAAGGACCTTACGAGGTCGTGTAGTCTATCCTCCAGCTCAAGGGAGTTTTGTTGTGAATGGGTGTGTTTGTATTCATGCAGGAGCCATGGTATGAGGCTAAAGTGCAGCAGGCATGTGGTATGGAAAGGTAACAGTTTTCCTCTTATTCGCATAGGGCAGAAAACATGTTCCTTTCTCATGGCAGCCAGCTCTGTCCGAGAAGGTGTCTAGACTCAGCCAATAGGCCAGGTGCTCAGTCAGGTTAGCCAGCGTAGTTTAACTGAAATGTGAAGGTAGATGGAAATTCACACAAGAGCCCTGCAGAAAAAGATGCCCCCATTTCACAGAAAAAGAATATGATTTTATTCTGATTTGAAAAGGAAATTCATTTCCAAGTTCTTCACAAAGCAATGCAGAGCAGACTCCAGTGGCCCTCCCTGACAAGAAGCCATGAGCCTGGGCCCTCAGACATGAGTTCCCAGGCCTTTCAGGCTCTCAGCAATCCAACAGCCCATCCAGTGGACTGCCAAAAAGTCATGGGAGAAGGTGGGGAACCAGAGAGGTCCCTAAGGTCAGCCCTGCTAGCAGCAGAGCTTCACTGGAGCTTTGTCCAAATCCAACCATCTCTGCAAAGTTTGCTGGTTTTGACAGGTCAGCAAATTCTGATGAAAGAACGTTTCCTCAAAATTTTTCCAACTATGTTTGCTGGTCATGGACAATCCCCAGGGTATGTCTAGAGCTAATCAGCACAGCTAGCACATTTTTAAAGGTGCTGAAACACTATCTCCCCAAGACCTCACAGCCGCTTCATTCTTTCAAAGCAAGTTCTTTCTCTCTCCCTACTCATAGCAGCCGGCACACTCTCCCAGGACACAATTTTCAGTATCTCTATCAAGAGGATGCTAAGAAATCACTGCAGTGACAGCGATATGACATGTGCACGCTTAGTTGTGGTCTTTGCAAGGGGCAGAGGCACTCAGCCAAGGTTTTGGATAGGACCTCATAGGGCCTTAACCCCCACTCCTGGATGTCAGGAATACATCACCCGTCTCAGGGATGCATTGCGAGGACTGAAAATATCCAACGCAGCAACTAAGGGAGGTGAATTTCTGGGCCTGTTAACCTTGGTGATTCCCTTTCCAACAAATCTCCCATGGCATGTGGCAGAGAAAGCAAATGGGAAGTCCCTGAAGCTGTCACTTCTGCTCCACTTCTGACCTTTGGAAGGATTAGTGTTCTCACACTTCACAGGGGGATTTTTGGTGCGTCGTCTCCTGTTTATTCACCCAAGGTGACCCAGTATTTGCACTTTTCAGGGTGTTGCTCCCAGGCTGAGCTATCAGGAAATGTTAGCTCAGAAAGCAGCATCGACTGTGGGAGGCTCTTGATAGGAATGAGCCAAGATTGGCCCTTGCAGATATTGATTTCATACCACTGCCGTCATCTCTGCTCATTTACCCACAAGTTGGGGAGATGCAATAGTGTGCCAGGGGCATTGGTGTGCCAGGTCCCCATGCCTCGTGTGAACAGCAGTAAGTTACACTGCAGAAGAAGGGAAAGCAACCCCACCCATGAGGTACCTATGACAAAGAGGAGGGGTAGCTGGGGATGGTTGGTTTTGAGAGGCAGGAAAATGGAAGGATTGGCCCCCACTACATGGGGTTTTCCTAGGAGACAAGAGGGATGTGTTGCTTTCCCTAGATGTGGCAATGCCAGATCAGAACATGATGCCGAGGCCAGTAAGACCATCAAGTCATATTCCTTGTGCAGTCTCCCAGGTCTCATCCTGAATCAGCCTTTATGGTGGTAGCTCATGCCAAGAGGGAGGAGACACATTGGCAGGAAGGCAGCGAAGGGAAACGGCTGCCTGTTCAATCTCTGTCCTCTCACCACCTGGCTCCAAGGCTGCCAGTACTACATTTGCTGAATACAAAAGTAAAACTGGAGACATGGCCAAATAACTTTGAGGGGAACATGTTGTTTTATTGCACTGGAATCTCCTTCAGGACAGAAGTTTCTATTTTGCAGTCTCCTCCACTTAAAAACACAAAAAGCAGTATGAGGTGTTGAGAAAACACAGGGTAAGGTAGCCGGACCAGAAGCAGCTGCCAAACTGCATCATTTCAGAATTTGGGTTGTATTTACCTGCACTGTGGTGAAGAGGATTTCCATGCCTCGAGCACAGCGAAAAGTCTCCCTGCCAGACCGGATGTTCGTGATGTGTTTGAGGCACAGCAGGAGACCCCTACGGATGTGGATGTAGCTGTTGGAGACGTCGCTTTGGTGCCAGTCCTGATACAGCCTCAGAAGTCCACACAAGTAGCCTCTGTGCACCACCCGCCGACTGTTAGACTCTGAAACCACAAGAGAAAGGCTTCCCACCATTAGCACTGTCATGATGATTATGTGGCAATGCTCGTGTGCACATGCACACTTAATCTTGTGCATGCAATCCTGGCCACTTTTAACTTAAGTGTGGTGACCTTTATTATTTGCTAAGCACAGGCCATCTGCTTGGCATTGTACAGAATAAAGCAAAAAGTAAAGACAGTCCCTGTTGGGAGCTGGTTAGTGCCAGGGGGAGATCCTGCATTGAGAGCAGTAGGCAAGGATGATATTTTTTTAACTTTATCCCCACAAGGGGTAGAACAAGGCATAGAGGCAGCAGCCATGACTGCCTTCATCTGCCAATAAACCTTTCTCCTGACCTGCAGCACCATAAATGTTCCTCAGACTGAAAGAGGAATGAGGCAGAGATGAAAGCCAGAGAAATACAATGCGATTGGTTAAGAAAAGATATGATCTTCATATGTCAGCGTGATGCTTGTTGACACTGGAAGGGATTGACTGGCTGTGGGTCACACATCTACACACCATTTGGTCATGTGACCTTCCCTCAGCCAATTAGATTGCATTTCCCTACCTACACTTTCACACACCCACCCTCGAGATGAACACCGATTCTCAAGACAGGGTATACAGCCACAACCTCCCCTCTGTCTCACATTGCCAACTTTAAACTTTCAGAAATTGTATGGCAGACCCCAAAGTCAGGCGATTAAGTTAAAATTAATCAGGTTCTAGGAGTTGGGGGAGGATGTTAAATACCCAGACAACAATTACGGTTTCTTGTTCTTTGCTTGCTGATTTCCAGGTCTTGCGGGGGCATATGCAGGTCAAATTTATTTGGGAAGGTTTTCTCAACAAGCTGTAGGACCTAGAAGGTTATGCTAAAAAGCCTGAGACTTGGATGCTCCCTTAATCATGTGCTTCCAGGTGCTGCTGCTCTATGAGAAAATATTGTGGGGCGCGCAATAAAATGACAAGGCTGGGCAATACTGCTGCCCAAATTTTCTGATGCACATTTTCCTCATGTTCCTGGCCCTATCTCTTAGTATACAGGGTTAGCGCTACACTAAACTCAGGGCGGTTCCTTCCCCTTTAAAGCAGCCCTTGACTGAACATATGATCCCGACTGGTCCACCGTGCTCCTCATTCCAGCGCTCGTTGGGAGCTGTCAGGAGCATGTTAATCAACCCATAGGGCCAGGGAGCATATGTGAAGCCAGAGCTCAACTCCCTGAATACCGATCAGTATATGTCTCACAACAGATGGCTGTTGGTATGGGTTTTCCAGGGCTGGTAGGTGCCAATCCATTTCTAGTTCATTAAACAGAGTGCCGGAGCCACTTACACCTAGAGCATGACATTCATCAGCAGACATTTATAGGGGAGGGTGAGAAGAGAGGAAAAGAGATTAAGGAAGAGAGAGAGGAAGGACACAAGATTTGGGGCAAGGAAGGTCAGTAGTGAAGAGGAGATTAGAGGTCGCTGGGGCAGGAACAGAGCTTGGAGGTGAAGGGTAGACTGCCCTTAGCCTCAGGAACAGGAAGGAGGAGAGAGGGCATAGCAGAAGGGGTGAGGAAAGGGCACAACTCCAATTGCCTCAGTCTGTTTTCTGATACATCAGCAAGATCTTATCCAGGGAGGCAGGAGGTAGCAGGGCCAGGCCGCACACCGCGCTGCCAAGACACCCGGCCCTGACCTGCAGCCTCCCAGGCCCTGCACACAGCAGCATTTCCTGCCATTCTGCTTCCAGGAAGCCCTCCGTTGGTATGGGAATACATCCCTACTGTTATTCCAGTCCTGGATACCCCATGCCACCTGTTATTCCTTTCCAATCCCTTGCCCCCCCAAACTCTGCTGATGCACCCCAACTCTGACCTGCACTCCTGTGCTTGTCCCTGCCCCCTCTCTCCCATCCTTTAGCTGTTCATGGCATGCTTTCAGCTCTGGCAACTGTGAGCTTGCAGGAGACCACGGGTGTGTTACTCCTCTGACCTTCACTCAGTAGATTGTTTT